TTCCACGAGATCTCAGGATCCTCGGACGCATTGGCAGAGTAGGCAGGGACGGTGTAGTTGAGAGAGGCATAGTCGTCACCGGCCTCGATGAGAAGGGTCTTGTGACCAGCCAGTGCGAGACGAGCAGCCAGAGGACCTCCTCCAGCGCCGGAGCCAACGACGATGTACTCGTAGCCTGTGAGGGCGACGGCGCACACGGAAGCTGGGGCGGCCAGAAGGCCGGCAAAGAAGGCGTGTCTCATGATGTATTAAGTAAGATCCAATCAAAGAGTGTTATAAATGAATGACGTCCCTGTGGCCGTGGTGGGTCAACGAGGGAGAATGAAGGAATGACTGTAATGAATGGATGGTGAGGAACAGCATAAGTCGGCTGCAACTTGCTATTTATCTATCCATCAATACGGAGTAGAATCTCTTAGTATCCCGGTTTAAACCAGGGGAGGTCTCGTTGAATGTAACGACCTCGGCATTCAGTCCAGAACAAGTCAGGGGTCAACTGCACCACCAATTCCCCATTATACATACATAACCAATAGCTACCAGACGCAACGTCGAGTGCAGAATCTACAGGCTTGGCTCACACATGGCATAGCAGGCAGTGCAATACCACCCCAACGAACAAACCAGACCAACTACCACGAACGGCATAGCCTCGGCTCACACTAGCTGCCTTTCCGCCCATCCCCGAACATGGAGCTTGGCCCGGGTTCCACTCCCGCGGGATCAGAGTACATAACCGGGGCGTTGAGCCGCACGCCGTTACATGCACCAACCAGAACCATCGAAACCCCCGCTGCAGGGGGCGTTGCATCGAGGATCGGCGGCTAGGGTTCAATTCCGCAGCTCGACCGTTTTCTCCCGACCATAATTTTGGAGGGGGCCTTTATGCGGTGCAGAATATAGGCAACTGGTCCGTTCGCCGGGCTTAAGCAAAGCCGTTATGCGCAAGGATAATAAATGAGATGCGGTCATAATTCTAGTGAAGACGAATATAGCCACCTACATCCGATTCTAATGCCGGGCCCAAGACGCAGGAGTTGTAGTTCTAGAAAACGTCTCCTGACTTGGCTGCAACCTATTCCTCCCTCAGCTTCTTGTTCTTCCCAGAAAAGCTCTCCTCAACTATCTTATTCTGACGAACAATCTCATCCCTCGCCCCCTCCCACGTTTTTCTCTTCCCCGTCTCAAAGTATCGAAACATGTGAGCTGTCTCTACACCGTGATTCATGAGGTTGTACATCTGTCTATCCTTCCACCAGAACTTCCACCCTGCCAATCCCCACCCAAGGTTCTCCATTCCCGTTCCCGCTTGTTGATGCATCCAGGGTTGGAACTCATATTGTTTGACCATGCTCACATCGAGATGCGGCTCTCGGGCCCAGTTTGCTGCAACCCATTTTTGATGGTCGTCAACCCATTTCTCCATCTCTTCGTAAGACGGTAGCTTGCTCACGCCTCGCCAAATGTTCGAGATAGCCATGTTCATGACATCGCTGAATGAGAAGCCATTATTTTTGCCATATGCTGAGTAACATAGCACAGCGCAGCTGTCCGCGTATTTCGGGGGAAAGACATTCATGTATAGGCGCTGAATGGCAGGTCCCTGATAAGTCGATGAATTTGGCACGCTCTTTTCGACGAAAGGAGAGACAGAAAAGTCGGCACAGTAGCCTGTAGTCAAGATAACGCTGTCCACGTCATCCACGACAGTCCCGTCATCAAACTCGATTGACCGTCCGCCCAAGAAACGTTTAATTCCATGCAGACTCGTCAAGCTACCGTCTTGCAAGTGAGGTACGATATCTTGAATAAGACCCGGTAATCGCAACGTCGGGTTACGGAATGACTGTATCCGCCATTCCGGGTCGAGTTTCACATCTGAGAACTGCGACGAGAGAAGTCTGGCTCCCCAGCCCGCCAAGTATCTGTAGAAATTAGGTATGTTCTTTGCCATCCACTGAGTAATCTGGCGACGTCTCCACGAGACTATTAAATCTGTCGGCCGTCCTTTACGCATGCGCTTGACCATCATCTGGCCGCTTCTATGGGAGAGGTAGACCCTTTTCGCTGTGCTGATTACTTGCGGCGTGATCTCGCCTGTTGTCGTGGATAGGCCGAGGATCACCACTGTTTTGTCCTGGAACGCTTCTGGGCTAGAGATTACTTGTTAGTACGGTCGAGAGAACTGCGAATCATGGTACCACGAACCTTCGGTATTGCTGCGAATGTATAATCTCCCCATCGAATTTATCCTGCCCCGGAAATATCGGCATTACTCTTTTAGTCTGATAACCATGACAGAAAACGACCTTGTCAAATAAGCGAGACTCTTTTTCGCCCGTTCCGACTTTCTCAACCTCCAATATCCACCCGCTATCGTCGCTGTTGCGGTTGACGACTTGAACACTGCTGTTGAACGAGATATGCTCCGTGAGCTTGAAGTGCTCCGCGTAGCTCTGCATAAACTCTTGGAAGTTTGCTGCGCTGAGATAGACGGGATACTCTGGATGAAGTAAGCATGCATCATGATATCAGTGGAGCCTGGCCCGACTTACTGTCTGGTATTGGAAAATCGGTAAATCCACAGGTATACTTGCTGATGTTTGCACTCGTAGACGCTAATGCAGTGGTCCATCCATTATTTGCATCATATGCCCACAATCCTCCGACAGAACTGCGTCTCTCAAACAACGTCGCGTTGAAGCCATCTTGGAGAAGCTGCTTGAGCATGGAAATGCCCGTAGGACCTTGACATGTTAGAGATCAGTATGACATATCGCACGATTACTTACCGGCGCCTATGATGGCAACACTGACGTGCTTCATTTTGTCTTTCGTCCTATTTTACGTACGCGTAGTTTCGAATGAATATGAAGGTGCTGAAAAGGCGAGGCCTGCGTGGTATTTATGATGCCTTATCAAAGGATCACACATTCAATTAGCCGATTGGCAAGTTCGGAATGTAGCGCTGTTCATTGGCTGTGCGCTGCACGAGGCTAATTTCTTACATGTCATCATTGGTCTTGCTGGGATCGGCATTTCTGACAAGCTTCCCACTGCAACCTTGGTAGGCATTTCACTCCGGATCTTGCGGAAGTGATCAAACCTCAAAGAACTGCCGGTATTAGACTTGCAGCAGTTTAATATAATGCAAGCACATCTTTATCTATAATGACGACCTGTAATTTCTTGATAAATTAATCGGCCAACTAAACGGAGAATGTGTATACATTGCGCTATATCGCAGGACAAGTACGTGAGTCCATCTTTGACTGCGAGTCTTGTTCTTGCACTGAATAATAGGCGACAAAATGTTGTAACTCTTGCCCTAAGCCGTCTTAAGCCTAACCATGAATCGTCTTTGCAGAAAGTCCAACTGGTTAGTCCAGGGGCCTCTTCGGACATAGAGAAGCTATTCAATATGCGAACTTATAAATATCCCGGATCTTCTCGATGAATAGATTAAAGATAAGATAGTTCTGTAAGGTGATACTCCTGGTTAGAGGAAAAATTAAATCCGACCGACCAACTTTAAATGGAAATTAAGCAGCATTGATACTTTATTTCATGAGACAAGGTAAGTACGACTGAGCCTCAGCTGACATCAACTCACTATTTGTCGCTTAAGATAAGGCAATATTAGCCACGACCCATTTACCATCTTTTTGGTGTTTTTTGCCATTGAGGCCTGGGGGGTAAAGCCTCTTTCAAGCTCTTAACCTTATCACAACTATTAACCATCTCAGCACGCACAGATGGCCGTAACAACATCCTGATCATGGAGAGTGTTATTAGAAAGAAAAATCTATTGATACATAGCTAGCTAAGTCACTATACAGTGGACAAGCAACGCAGGAAATGGTGTAGTATGATACCGAAAACTCAAGATTCATGATGTCATCCTAATGATTCTAGATGAATTCAAGTCCGATCTAGAGGAAGCTCTTAGTGCTGGTGAGAAATGTGCAATACAAGGTGCACTAAAAGGATCAAAGAGTAGAATATCCAAGTGTCAAAGGAATTCGGCAAACGCGGCTCTAGTTAAGCTCCAGTTCTGAGGCTCGGTTACCTGCGTAGTTTCATCTGACTAGCGAGCCATAATTGCTTGTAGCTGCTTTTTCCCACCGTTGTGCCGTTGCACTTGCGTGCCAATGTGGCTGAGAACTCAATGGCTTGCTAGGGGAGTAAGTTTGGCATCGGTAACAGCAGTGGCTTTTTGAGTCATTTGCGTACTACTAGCGGTCTGTTTGATCTATCAAGGTTTTGTATTACTCATGACCTTCAAGCAAGGTATTGTTCGTATTGGCTTGAAACTGCCGTTCAGCAACAGTCTCTTCATACTTATTCAGTCTCTTGATAATATACTGGCTTCTATGCTTGGAGACCTCGCTTATGCTTAGCTCAAATGGAGTCGTCTGTCTCGTCTGTTGTGAGAGCCTTTAAGAGGTTGTTATGAATTGAGTTTGTGAACATTCCAGGCAAGACAGCGGTTTATACGCCACTCGCTTATTACGCGCTTGTCATCGCGGGGACGGTACAACGGCCCCCCATGATGAATATCACCAGATACGACTAGAAAATGCCTCAAGGTTATATACACTTTGAGGCTGAGCTAATTGCTTTTAGTAATAATCTATGTATCTAAATAGCCAAGTGCTGAGAGAGATCTCTAACTGGTAAAACTCAATTGCATTGTATTTTACACTAAGTCATAATAACAATTTGCAGTCGCTATTTGATCCTTCACGTGGTAGATGCAGGAATGATGTGGCTTAGGGTCTAATTAAATACTAATATCGCCACATTTTCATCTCATTCCAAGGCTCTTATGCAGCGCTAAGAGATATTTCCAGTGCCGACAGCAGTTATAAATTCAACACCTCCCTCCAACAATCCTGTTACCGGAGGACAAATTCAAAGTACATTGTGGATCCCGAAGACACATCAAATGTCCCCTTCTCCCTAGTCTTCCCAACCATTACTTAGTAACCCTTCGCACTATGTTATCCAAACTCCTTCCCCTTATATTAATCGCAAGCGCTCTTGCAGCGCCGCAAACTCCTCTCCCATATGCCAATGAGCCAAATCGATGCGATGCCACTTGTCAAATCGCCTACCGACAGGTGCTAGCTATGGAGGCAGAACGATGGGTCAACCAAGATATCACCACTGATTCCTTCTATTCAACCCCCTCAAATGTGTCAAAGTATTCGACTGCAGATATACTAAAATGGGAAAAGATTCCATCTGAACAGGCTTACCGGCGATGGACTGTCCCTGCTGGCATATCTTTGATTCGTTTCTTTTACATGTCTGAGGATATTAAGGGGAAACCTCTTCCAGCTACTGGCATTGTGCTTATTCCATACTCCAATCCGCAGGGGAATAAGCCATTCCGTACTGTTGTTTGGACGCACGGAACAGCTGGCGGAACCCGACAGTGTTCACCATCGAACCATCGTGCACTGCTCTATGGCTAGTCAGCTCCGTTTGCTCTAGCCCTTGCAGGCTACGTCGTTATCGCCCCTGACTACGCAGGCCAGGGAAGCGAGGCCCAGGGCTTTATGTACGAGGCTGGCATTCTCCATGCAGCAGATGCCAGCTTAAGCGTCCAGGCTGTACGCAAAGCTCTAGGCAGCAAGATTACAAAGGAGTGGGTTGTTATGGGCCACAGCGAAGGTGGAATGTCTTGCTGGCGCACCAATGAGCGAGAGGCAAAGCCGGAGGCTACAGGCGGCCTAATTGGGGCGGTTTGTGCTTCTCCTGGCCTTGTCCCAAGCAAGATTATCGCTGAAATGATCCGTCGTGCCGGAGATGGACCTGCTGGAGACTTCCTCTCTTCCCTCATGCTACAATCGGTTTCAAGGATCTACCCCTCTATCAAAGTTGAGGACTATGCTTCTGATATCCTTCTTGCCCGGATGCCTCTGGCCGACCAAGGATGTTTCTATACTTCAGCTGCCCTCTACAGCAACCTAACTGTCAGTCAACTCTACAAGAACACTAGTTGGATTCAACACCCCGATTTCATCAAGTGGGAGACAATCTATAATGGTGCAGGGCCTCATAAATTGGCAGCTCCATTGCTTGTGATCCAAGGCGCTGAAGATCCCTTGGTATACCCTGACACTTCTGAGGAGGCCTTTAACGAAACGTGCAAAGAGTTTGCAAGCTCGACGACTGCTGAGTATAGGCTATACCCAGGCCTTGGTCACGGTGCGGTTCTCCCAGCTTCACAGCAATACTTCCTTTCCTGGATTGAGGATCGATTCAACAAGGTCTCTCTCAAAAAGGGTTGTAAGAAGCTGAGTTTGACACCCGAAACCGACAACTTTTCCCCAGTTAATGATGAATGGGTTGCAGTACTTAGTTAAGAGACTTTGCATAGCTTACGGCTGGGAACGAACTAGTGAATGGTAGGTCATATGCAAAGACGTCAATATACTATCGTTATTATCTACAAAATTTGAATGGATATCGTTTGGCAACGGTAGATTTCTGCAATTAATCGATCATGGAGTCTGTCCTGCCCAAGTATTTCAGGGGAAGAAGTATAAGAGGAAATCCCCCGCCGAGATGGGCAATTCGTACTGACTAGTAAGTATAAAATGCTCAATACTAGCGCTGTATCATCTCTAGTGTCTGTTCTGTAGATCAAGACCTATGGCCGTTATGGAAGCCATCTCAGATATCCGATATGGCGTACTAGTTGAAGTACAAGACCCAGTATCGGCAGTCAACACGTAATACATGCAAAGAGTGTGATTCGAGGTCTTTGTCGTGTGAAAAGCGCATGATACCGGTAGAAGGAAAAGATGGATAAATTGGCACTTTGACCCATAAGGTAGTCTACTTTATCAAAAGGCACTCTACATCGTCGGCGACTACCTTGTAATTACCACATTCTCTCCCAAGTACGCCTGGCCCAATTCATCTCAGCCAGTCTAGCCTTTTCAACCTCCTCAATGCCCCCTTCCTCCCAGTGTCTGCATTCCTCGTCAATCTCAGCCTTACCAGTGATCAAATCTGCATCCTTCGGACTGACGATACCCTTACCCTCTCTCCAGTACTTTATCTTGCCAACCAGATACATAACAGCTGTGAAAGCAACGGCGAAATAAGATGTGATGAAACCTCGCAGGCTGAACGGGCTGAACACGTCAAAGCCTACGAAAAAGATCGCTGTGCATCCCAAAGCGAGGGCCATGATGGGAGTGTATGGTGTATAAGGCGCGACATAAGACAGTGACTCGTCGGTGAGACCCTGTGCCTTGCGAGCACGGTAGAACCCAATGTACGCGAGTAGCATAAAGCTGTACGAAGCGATGAATGCGGTGGTGGTCAGGTCAACGAACCAGAAGAAGACCTCTATAGCCGAGTTGGATGCCACAAGGAAAGTGACGCAAGAGATCAGGGAGACGACTGCAGTGGAATAGATTGGGACGCCAGTCTTGGTACATTTCATCAAGAACTTGGGCGCTTGATGATCTAAAGCATTATCAGTGGTCTGGTCAGGTTCGATAAACAGTGGATCAGGCTTACCTCTGGCAAGGCCATATAGCGTTCGACTAGCAGCAAAAAGATAAGCATTGCCACAAGAAAGCCCAGACACAAGGATCAGGGCATTGATGAAGTGAGGCAAGAATCCGATTCCAAGATTCTGAATACCAATCACCCATGGGCTCGCAGCAGCGCCAGAAGAACCATCTGCGATGGCGCTAATAAGTCTCTCATCTTTCGATGAGCATATAATGCCAACAGCAAGGGCTCCGACGATATAAAACCCGACAAGACGGTAGAATATCATCCGCGCGACTCGGGGAATAGTCCGACGAGGGTTCTGGATCTCACCGGCCGCAAGGGCGATCATATCAGGCCCAGCGATAGTAAATGCCGCATAGATAACAACCGACCACCAGCCGAGGAATCTACCAGTGGGACCTTTGGCGTAGTATTCGTGCATGGCTCCGTCCTTCCAGTTACGAAACCCATAGGCATCACCTTTAGGGTTTCCGCCGGCCATCGTTATGACAGTGATGAGGACGAGGAGGATGAACAAGAACACCTTGGTGATGGCGAGAATAAACTCGGCTTCGCCATACCATCTGTCAAACGGTTATCTTTTGATGTAACAATGCGTGTTGGGATACTTACTTGACTGCAACAACATTGAGAAAAATACAGATAGCCATTGAAACGGCTATCCAGACAGCAGGATTGGTTGTACTGTCCCAGTACTCGGCCACAGCGGCAACTGCACTGTACTCGACACAAACAAGCATGCACGTCCCAAAGAAATAGGTCCAACCTAAGCTAAAGCCAACAGCTGGCTCGACGAAGCGAGAGGCAAGTTCAAAAATGGAGCCGCGAACGGGGAGATATGCCATCATTTCTGCGACGCACAGGTACGTGGGCCAAATGAAGAAAATACCCCAGAAGGTGTATCCCAGAAGAAGAGAGAGGGGTCCAGCTTGACTTAGATAGCCTCCGATACCGACCTGATCCTCATCAGCCTTTGGTCATGTAGAATTTAATGATTAGCTTACCCATAGTGCAGTTCCGATTGAGCCACCGATGGCCATGAGCTGTACGTGACGGGGCTTTAGACCACGCTGGGTCTGTCCATACTTCTCAACCAATTCACTGACTACCGGTTTATTGTCGGTGTCAAGTAGGGAGCCAGGACGGTTACTTTCCACGGGTGAGATGCCCATTTCAGTTTTGTTAGCATCCATGATGGCAGAAATGAAGTGAGATCGGATTGGAACAAATGTCTTGAGTGTTACTCAAGCGTTGGCATTGAGCTGTGGCAGCGACGATAGCGCGGATGTCAAGGGATATATATACCTGTTCCGATTCATTGCTCTAAAATGGTCTCACCCTTGTTTCTGTAAACAACACTCGCGGTTGTGTTCATATTCACTATCGCAGATCTGCTTATCTGCAACATCAAGACAAACAAACTATCCCCATTGTAGAATGTTCAGGCGACTTGGACCGGATCTACCCCCGAGTCTCGACTACCAAGCGTCCAGACTTGGCTGCGAACGCTAAAGCGATAGCAAGGTTTAACGTTTACCATGGTTGTGCGGATTGACCAATCTCCTTGCAAATGTATATCAGCCACATGATGGCCGATAAGCTATCGTAGATGGGGTAATCTGATGCCCTTCTCAAGATGGAAACCTGGAGCGACTGGTGCACTTCCCCGCGTTTTAGCGTCTGCGCTCGGAGCTTCTACTAACGATCCGCTATCTAAGTCGCTGCTCTCGTCTCTAGGCTATTGCCGTTCAAATAGCCCGCTTTTTATGCTCTCGGCATTTCCTTGTCTGAATCATGGGTAAGATAACAACGTGAAGGGCTGTAGAGCCTGTGCCCTACTGCGATTCTCAAGTGCATCTCGACCTACGTTTTGCAAAAGGATCTTAAAAAGGTCTGCCATATCCCCTCGAGCGCAGAAGTACAGTGGTTTCGTTGCCCAGGTCGCGGGCTCGCCCTCAGGATACACTCACCAATACTACGTCGCAGAGTTGCGACCATTTGGGAGTTCTGCTAAAGTGAACAAATTCAAGACGGCAGTATTACTCTGCTTCAATGCATGAACAAGGCGGCGCATGTGGCAGGTCCAAAAGAAATAGGCATACTAAACAAGTTCATTTCTATACCTATTCCTGACTACGTTTGCTAGGCCTTATACTTCTGCTGGGGTAAATATCCCATGATGAGAGGCATCGAGCAGCTCGTCTAGATAATCCCAATTAGTTTCGTGTTGATGGGCCTCCCCATTTTCCCACCTCATTTCCTCAGTTCCATTCGGTGACGCCTGTATATCGGCTGTTGTTTGCATGCCTTCGCTGCTTTGTTGTGCCCATAGACGAGAGATTGTAGCTTCCACTATCGATAAAACTCTGGATCGAGCCCTTGCTCCATCTTCTGAATTTTCAGTTTGAAGCATTGTTCTGACTCTTTCCAACAGAAGCTTCACACTCAGTTGATCGATATGAAATCCCTCAGTGATCTGGCTTGTTGCATGGGCCACAAGACACAATGTGGTTACACCGAGTAAGAAGTCATGCCAGGTGATACTCTTCATCAACCACTCCTCGGTATCCAGCTGGCCTCCAGGCCTGCACTCCTCGTAGACTTGTAGGAGGTCAGTTACCAGGGCAGATGATGCCGAATAGCATTCTCGAATGCTCTTATCTCGATGTTTGGCTACATGTGGACGATGAAGAACACATAGACTTTTGTAGTATACAAAAGACATACAAAGGCGAGCGACGATAAGTTGAGGATGGTCGATTATACAAGTCTGAATTGGCCGAGGTCGATATAATTCCGGCAGGCTTCCGTATAAATGTTTGAGTTCGGCATCCAAAGAGTCAATTTGAGCGTCTATTACCTCGTGTGAAGGGTTTACAAGCGCATGTTGCAGAATCTTGCCGAATATTGTCATGAATTTGTGCTTGATAATGCAAAATGTTACACTAGTCACCTCAGAATCCGGTCGTGGGGAGGGCAGTCGAGCGCTGTGTTCGTCGAAATCGGAGTCGAGAAGATTGCTTGGAGCTCGTGTGTCTGAGACTGATAAGGTGATTCTCGACGGAACACCCAGATGGAATGATACTAAAAGATCAAGCTGCATGAACATACTCCATCCCCTGCGTCGCATCTCTGCTGTGAAGGGACTCATACTTGAGACGCTACTCTCTCTGTGATAGCCTGAAACCGTCGCAATGTGGGCAAGCACGCTAAGAAGAGCACCCATATCCGGAGAGATTTCCAGACAAGTCATGAAGCGTGAATGGAGATAAAGTAAGAGTGCCTCGAAGCAGAAGGCTTTGGGGCGGAAATACTCGCCCAGAGCGAGACACTGGGCGGCAGCAACTGCAAACCCATGCCCTGGTATCTCATTTTCTGTACCGTTTCGGGATATGTTGGCGGCGATGAACAATATTGAAAAGAGGATCGATATCCAAAGTGGCGAAGCTGCGCTAGGGTCGCTCCAGAAAGCCTCGTACTGCCTCTGAAACTGCACTGAATGTATATATGGCGTGATGTACAACCGAACGCGAAATTATGTGGATACCAGGCGGTCGGTGCTCCTTCGCGATGGAAGATGAGTATTCAGTACATGTTCGATACTGACGGCTTGTGAAAGGCCAGCGCCGAACATGACGTCCATTCCCATTCCAACGTCTGCTTGAGGAGCACTCGTGTCTCCATCATCCATGTCATTGCCCTCTAGAGGATCGAGGGTAGACCTGAGAGCTTGTATGTCGTCTAGCATAGCTGACCAGTGTGTTGTACCACTTCCAGCCTGGTCGGAGCGAGAAGACGACGATGCGATTGTGTGCTCCCCAGTGTCCGGGTCATGCGGTAACTCAACAGCCGGAGTGCTATATTGAGCTCCAATAGTGGTGCTTGAACGTTGTTCCGCGAGTAACCCGACGAGGTGCTCCAGATGTTCAAGACGTGCTTGGGCCTGTGTGCGGCGGAGACGGTCGCGGTCCAGGTCATCGATGGAAGCTTCGTAGGAGCAGGATGTAGTGTCTCTCCTGCGAATACAGCTGCCGCAGGGACTTTCACGGTCACACTTGAGCTTCCTCTGCCGGCATGCCGAACAAGCCAGCCGCTCTCTGTGCTTTCTCAGCCTAGAAGCGGACCTCATGGTTTGATGCAGGGCAAATTCTACTCATGACGATGATAAACGGATAGAGCAGAGACTTTTATGAGGGAGGGGTCATGAGGATAATGCATGCTTTCTCGGGCGCTAATCCTTGATAGGGTTAGTGTCCAGCAAGATGGCTTGAGCCCGCAATGTGTTCCTGCTCAATGCACCTTAGAACTAGATATATTACTACTTAACAGACTACCCTTATAAAGTAAATTTCAAAGCAGTAATATGTATACTTGCTATCAATATTCTAGTGGATGCTTTGTTGTAAGCTTTTCCAAGCTCATTTCACCTCCCGCAACACGTTGGATTCCCTCAATACCAGCCTCAGCGCCAGTTACAACTGTGACAACAGGCAGTCTCAAGCACCCATCCTTTAGAGCCAACAGATGCTCCATAATCTTGCGTATACGGATAGCTGAATCCGGATCTTGAGGTGCGCCCATGGCGTTCACATTGCCGCTTGGCCGATAAGACGTGCACATAATGAATTTAGGGTCTTGGGGAACCGGGAGCGTGTAGGCTAGGCGAAGACCCTCCAAAGCGCCCAATGCATTCTTTGTGAGCTCAGGAGAGCTGGGACTGCCAGCGTCCGTAGGAGCCGTGGCTCCTTTGCCAACAGTATCGAAGGCCAAGGCTAAAATAATGCCGAGCGACTTCTGAGCCTGTTGGATATCTTCAACCACGCTGGGGCTCCTGTAGTCAAAACAGTGGGTGGCTCCCAACTCTCGAAGGATGTCATGGTTTTTAGCCGAGGCTGTTGCAAAGATGTAACGGAGCCCAGCAGCCTTGGCCAATTGAATAGCCATCATTCCAACACTGCTTGCGCCGCCCCAGATGAGAATTCCCTTGCCGACAGGGTCAATGCCAGCCACGCCAGCGGCTGGAAGCCCCAGGCCAATGACATTGAACAAGGCATCTGCCGCTGTATGTGCGGGCATGCAGATTACGCTGGCGTCCTTTGATGACACACCGGCTGGGATCTTGTAGAGTAGCTCAGACCTCGCGACAACCAAGTCCTGGTGGGTTCCATGCGAGGATGGCATTGGAATGATGACAGGTGAGATACCAAAGACGGCATCTCCGACTTGGAATTGAGAGTCAGGGCCCGTTTGCTCGACAGTACCCGACATCTCGAATCCGGTGATGAAGGAACTGAGTCCCATGTAGAAGAAGTTGTAATCACAGAGGTTGATGGCTGAATAGTCGACACGGACGAGGCATTGGGAGCCCTCAACCGTGTACCTTTCTGTCACCGGCTGGACGAGGAGCTTGCCCTGAGCGGACAGAAAAATGGACTTGGATGCTTGGGTAGACATGACGGTTGTTGGTTAGATGGTAGGTTTTCTTGAATTGGATGGATTGAGAACGATGGGGAAAAGACGAGATGGATCTTAGAGTAGTCTATTTATATTCTCTTGACTATGGTACTTTACTGTCTCGGCAGCCAAGAGAACCAAGCTTGGCAAGCCTTCTTCGCCGTGTCTGAGCGGACTCGCTTACCCACCGGCGGGCTGATTCATATGCCGTTGCTTCTTCATTTTCCGATACGCTTCGTCAGCAGTGGGATTCAATGTCAGCAATTCTTATACAGTGGGGGCAATACGTTTAAATATCACTTCACTGCCTGGCACCTTACATCTAGCCTGTTTGAACCTAGCTGACTAGCCATACTGGTGGAGAGCCCAGACCAGCTATGAGTATAAGTGAATTCGGCATGCAAGGAAGTATCTCTATGCACATGGAAGCCTACCTGAAGCAGCTAAAATCTCAAAAAGACACAGGTCGAGAACACGAACCTTGGTGATTTAAGGTTTGTCCGAGCGGACAGCAAGGCGCGACAAGCGACCCCGCGTTACGGAGTACGGAGCAACTAATTATTAGGTAGGAATACATAGTCGTGCTTTTAACGGACTTTATCTCCGAACACCCAAAGCGTCACCGCTCAATTGCTCAATCCGATAACTAACATGAGGAAAGCACATTTATGTCAACAAGTTTCATATCGGTAGATAATTGTAGGATTACAACGAGGAAGGCTCCTAAACCCTCCTGGTTATTTGTACCTCTTGCCCTGGCGGCCTTATGACCCAATTGTGTACAATCTTCTAGACTCTACTATAGTACACTAACTCGATATCATTTAACGTCATAAAGGATTTTTCAAACGGCACAAGACTTTTGTATTGCTGCAGGAACTGAATGGCAAAGCAGAACAATCTTCAAGAGACAGAAGGTCATGCTAGGAAGTAAGATAAGAGAGGATTAATAGCTTAATATAAAACACAGAGCATGTCATTATTACGCTAAATCTATTAAAATCTTTATTATACTATATAGAAGATAAATAATAAAATCGTTCTTGGTGTCACACACTACTAGTCTCTTTGCCTCCTCCTCGGCCTCTTTGAGGCTGGATTCTTCCCTGGCTGAGTTTATCCACGCTTAACTTACCATTCTCATTTTGGTATATAAAAGAGATACGCTCGCTTCTACCTTCTGGGGACTCTTGCTTCTGGACTAGATGGAGTTTTGGCCTTTAGCCTTTATATAATCGACATATTAATAAGCCATCGATCCCAACATCGCCAGTAGCCAGTACCGGAATGGCCCGGACCTGTGTTGATTATTTAAGAATGCCACATTCTCAGGGTGCCTAGTTGAGTATAACCGAGGTGGGAGAAAGAAAGGATACCGGGTTTTTTGGTAAATGCCTGACGCAATGTGTGATTTAAGCTCAATATCTAGCAGCAGCCTTGGCATCTTGACCAATGGGTTTGAAATGAGACCTACCAAGGCTGAACGCCTTGCTTTGATACAACTTTGCCAACCTCCTTATCTCTGACTCCTTCCAAAACATCTTTGACAATCGCAGCTCCAATAGAAGGATCAATTGCACCCTGTGTTTTGTTCTGCTCTTGGCCAACACCGAGGCCGGTTGCCAGGTATCCAGGGCTGATAGCCCAAACTTTAACGCCATCCTGGCCAAGAATCCGGAACCACTCCCTAATCTTCAAGTCAGCGCTACTCTCGTGTGCTGGCCAGGTTATAAAATACCTCATCATCATGTTCAGTGCAGTCTTGCTACTTCTATATGCCGGCAAGTTGAGGTTATTCAAGGCTTTGGGCCAGCCTTTGCTGGGCTGCTTATTGAAGGGCAAGTCGGAAGTTTCAGACCCAGTAAGGGAGGATGTGCCGCTGGCGATGAACATGAGGCGGGGATCGCTGGACTCGAGAAGCAATGGAGCCAAGGTCCAAGTCAAGATATGGGTCCCGGTCACGTTCACATCATAGGTTTTATTCCACATTTCCCTAGCGGACATCTTGCCAGCAGTCAACTGTTGATCTAGTTGAGCACCTTTGATTTATGATCACGTTAATATTGTAATAGGTATTCTTGGATTGGGGTTGATTTACCTGCGTTGTTGATAAGCGCATCAAGTCTCCCGTACTGAGCCTTGATATATTCAAATGCCGAGGCAATAGAGATATCATCTTCAATATCAAGTTGAATTGCATGAAGGTAGCTGGAAGGAAACTCTTCCTTGAGGTTCTTGACGGCCTGTTCAGCCTTTTGAAGGGATCTACCTCCGACCAAGACCTCATATCCTTTATTAGAGCTACAAATGGCCTTGACAATCTGGAAACCGAGACCGGTGTTGGCACCTGTCACAAGCACGAGCTTACGTCCGTCCATTTTGTTAGGCTCTTTTGTGTTGCAGGATAGAATTCAGATCAATAATGGGAACAGAACAAAGACAAAGACCGTAAAAAGATTGACAGTGTAGTAATATTAACCTTTTAAGCTTCTTATGGTCTTATACCAGGTACTTAGAAAATAAGGAATGGGTCTGGAATCAGCAGTATTGCCCTTTCTGTCGTTCGGCGGGAACATTCATCAGTCCGGAATATTGGCTGGGATTTCCTTTCCCCATAATTTCTCGGCCATTAACTCCGATCGTGATGTCCGGCCGTAACTGGTGTCTCGGCCGACAATCTCCGGTGCCGTTAGCTCCGGCCGGCGAAACTCAATCCTAATTCGAACATAGCGCGCTTTGGACTGGAGCTTCTACCATTTGCTTCTAACCTAACTAAATTGCAGCTCTTGTCTTTGGTATACTGCCGTTTGAATAGCACGCCTTTTATGCTCTACGGCATTCATTATCTGAGCCCTGTGAAAGATAGCATTAATTGGACTCTTGGATCGCAATTCTGGGATGGCAAAGGCCACCAACAGTCTATAGAGCACACCGAACTGCAATGGCATGTTGGCCTACTTGCTTGTAAATAGCCTCAGTTACAGCTATAGCGATAATCGATAGTAACGCCAGGGCCTGATCCCAGATTCTAGGTCTGACTTGATTGATTCTCAGTTTCTGATATTCTTTAGTAAGGACCATCAGGGAGGCATGACGTCCCCATGCCTAAACACTGGAATCTATCTTACCGCCTTGGCACATCATTTTTGAAAGGTTGCCCTGCATCTTGTGGCCTCTAAGACAGAGCGCTCGATGCATTTTCGCTTCAAGATAATGGACTACTGCAAGATTGTGCTGCGAAGACACGCCATGGCTTAAATTTGGTCCCCCAAGGTGATTATGCATCGGGAGCCGGACCCAGCAAAGGCGGCTCTGTAGATGACATGCGCTGGTCCCAGGTTACCGGCAACCCTGAATAGAGGCTTTTACGTGACCTCAGCGACGTCCTTTCATCCTTTCCACTTACTTTTTCTAAAGCGTCCTTTCCCGGCACTGTAAGTGGACAGCAACTCTGAAAGTATGCAGATCTTCACAACGCAATTTAGCTGCCGCCTGGATCCTTACACCACACTATACGCGTTAAAACAGTCTGGGGAACTTTAGGCAACCCTCAAGTCTTACGCATATTGGGCAGGGGCTACATATGTTGTCTCCTTTATTGGAGAGGCTCTGAAGTACCAGGTTATAATGCTTTCTGTTATTACCGATACTGAAAAACTCGGGAAGCCGGCCCCA